AGGGCATCTAACCGAAGGAGGTCTTGGCATGAGACCGTAGGAGTCTCTGCCCCTGGTTGCTTCTATTTGACTACAGAGGCATGGCGCTTGCAAAGCTTTTAAAAACTTGTTTCATGTTTTTAAAATCCTTGGGAGCTACAGAGTGGGTGTTGAGACCAGAAAGTCTGCTTCCTGAAGTGTTTATGCGAAGGATCATTTTTAGAGTTATGTGGAATGGAATTGGGTCTGACGTCAGTTCCCAGTGTGCCTTCTCTCCCCTGGAGGAATAGCCCATATGTAGAGACAGATGTGAAACTCAAGACTTTTACATATAAATAATGCTAGGAGAGAATGGGAACAGTACTGTGAGTTAGAGGCAGGGTGGGGGGGTTGTGGGGGGAAAGACAGAGTTTACTGCAGGCTAGAAGTGAACAAGTTGTTTTTAAAAGCACTTTTTAAAAACCTTTAGTTGTGTATAACCCATAAGCCTAAATGTGCACAAAACACAGGTGTACAGTAATCAGTAATATTAGAGGCCAGGTGCCTGTGTAAACATCACCAAGGTCAAATACTAGAACATTACCCCCATCCAGAACTCCCGCAGCAACTCCTTTTGATCACTGCCCACTGCCCCCTTCAGGGGGGCTCAACTGACTTTATATGGTGATAATTTCCCTGCTCTTCTCTCTAGATTTACCACTTTTATATGCATTCCTAAATGATTTAAATGAGTTTTGGCTGTTTTTGAACTTCATGTACATGGAATCATACTGCATTTTCTTTTTCTTTTTTTTTTTTTGCATTTTGGTCTTTTCCCTCAACACTTTGTTAATAATAATCACACATGTTGTTGCATGTAGCTGTAGTTTGTTTTCTTTTGTTACTGCATAGTATGTCTTTGTGTGACTATACCACGGGGTATTATTTTACTGTTGATGGATGTTTGCTGTTTCTGGTCTGGGCCAACTGCAAATAAAGTCACATTGAACATTCTTGAATTGTCTTTTGGTGCATGTATTTCTATTGGATACACATTAGCTTGAACCACAGTGAAATTACCAATTTTATGGAATAAACAGTGAAATATTAATTATTTCATATGGTTCAGTCTAAAACCTGGGGATATAAATGTTGGATCATAGCAAATGTATGTATTCAATTTTTGTAGATTCTGTGAAATAATTTTCTAAAAATGTTGTGCCAATCTAATCTCCTGTCAGCGAGGGATAGATTTGCTCCACATTCTGGCCAGCACTCGGTATTGTAAATTTTCATTGTGATTTTGATTTGCATTTCCTTGATTACTGATGAGGTTGAGCATTGTTCATTTGTTTTTGGCCATTTAGATTTCTTCTTTGTACCTGTCAAGGTCATTTGCCCATTTCTTCTTAAGTGCCTTAGTCATTTGCCCATTTTTCTATTGGGTGGTCTTTGTCTTTGTTGACTAGCAGGTATTCTTTACATGTACTAGATAGGAATCCTTGATGGTTGAATTTGTTACATATTTCTTCGCCATTCTGTGGCTCATCTCACTCTCAGAAGGGTGTCTTTGATGAATAGATATTTTAATGTAGTCAAATTTATCCATTTTTTTGGGTGGTTCATGCTTTTTGTGTCTTGTCTAAAAAGACTTCTACTATAAGATCTTGCAGATCTTCTCTGATGTTACCTTCCAAGAGCTTTGTAATTTTGCCTTTTTCATTTAGTTCTATAATCCATCTGCAGTTGGTTTTTGTGAGTGGAGTGAGGTTGAGGTCCATTTTCTCCCCCAGTGGATATCCAGTTGTCTCAGCACTGGTCAGTGAAGAGCCCATCCTCTCCCCACTGACCTGAGGTATCACTGGGACATAAATCATCCTGCATCCACTCTAGGCTCTATTCTCTTCATTAGTCTTTCAATCTATTCCTACACTAAACACCTCTCATCTTAATTACTCTAAATTTATAGCAAGTAAGCCCATCACCTTGCTTTTCTTTCCTAATGGTGCTTTGGCTGTCCTTGTACATTTCCTTATACATTTTGGAATTAACTTATAAAGTTTCACCAAAAAAGTCTGATGGAATTCTTGAGATTGCATTTACTATATTGATCAATTTATTTAAACTTTGCATCTTTATAACAGTGATTGTTTAGGACTAAGGTTTATCTCTCCATTTAATACTTTACTGTCAAATTTTTTGAGATTAAAATTTATTTCAACAAATTTTGATTGTGATAAAATTGACAACTTCAACTGTTTTTAGGATACAATTCTGTGGTATTAAGCACGTTCACACTGTTGTATAACTGTCTCCACTCTCTATTTCTAGACCTTTTTTTTTTTCTTTTTTAAAGATTTTATTTATTTTTTTGACTGTCAGAGACCACAAGTAGGTAGAGAGGCAGGCAGAGAGAAAGGAGGAAGCAGGATCCCTGCTGAGCAGGAAGCCCGATGGGGGCTCAATCCCAGGACCCTGAGATCATGACCTGAGCTGAAGGCAGAGGCTTTAACCCACTGAACCACCCAGGTGCCCTCTCTAGACCTTTTTAATCATTTCAAACTGAAAATTGATACGCCTTAGATAGTTTCTTATTTTTTTATTTTTAAAGATTTTATTTATCTATTTGACAGAGGGAGAGAGAGATCACAAATAGGCAGAGAGGCAGGCAGAGAGGGGGGTGGGGTAGCAGGCTCCCTGCTGAGCAGAGAGCCTGATGCGGGGCTCGATCCCAGGACCCTGAGATCATGACCTGAGCTGAAGGCAGAGAGGCTTAACCCAGTGAGCCACCCAGGAGCCCCCCTTAGATAGTTTTTTAATCCATTCTTCCATGATGGTCTTTTGAGTTGTTTTTACCTCTTGTCTGTTGTGATTAATGCTGCTGTGAACATTGGGATATAAATACCTGTTTTGGGGCACCTAGGGTCCTGGGATTGAGCCCCTCGTTGGGCCCCATTGGGCCTCTCAGTCACTCTGCTGCTACCCCTGCTAGTATTCCCTTTCTCTCCCTCTTCTGTCAAATAAATAAAAATCTTAAAAATAAATCAGTATAGGGGCGCCTGGGTGGCTAAGTGGGTTAAAGCCTCTGCCTTTGGCTCAGGTCATGATCTCAGAGTCCTGGGATCGAGCCCCACATCGGGCTCTCTGCTCAGCAGGGAGCCTGCTTCCTCCTTTCTCTCTGCCTGCCTCTCTGCCTATTAGTAATCTCTGTCTGTCAAATAAACAAATAAAATCTTAAAATAAATAAATAAATAAATAAATAAATCAGTATATAAAAATAAATATCTGTTGGGGCACCTGGGCGTCTCAGTGGGTTAAAGCCTATGCCTTCAGCTCAGGTCATGGTCCCGGGGTCCTGGGATCGAGCCCCATTTCATGTAAATGGAGTCACACCATATGTGGTCTTTTGTGGTTGGCTTCTTTCACTTAGCATCATGTTTTCAAGGTTCATCCATGTTATACAATGTATCCTTTTTAAGATTGAACAATACTTCATTGCATGTATTTGCCACATTTTAATTATATGAATATACCACATTATAAATTGATCAGTTGACAGATATTTATCAATGAAATTCCATAATTTTTTATAGAGGACTTTCCCATATTTTTGTTAGATTTATTCCAGGGCATACATTTTCATATTCTTATGAATTATGTTTTTATAATATAAAAACATACATAATTTTGAAGAATAAAAACATTTTCTATATTTTCTGCTGTTCTGTAGGAATATATGACATTGATGTTTACATCCTGTAAGTCTAAAGTTTGATAAACTCTCTGAATTCCAAACATTTGTTGGGCAACCAGATTTCTTATATACCAGTCATATCATTGTGATGAGTGAGTTTTATCATCTCTTTCCATGTCTTCTGTCATTTCTTTCTTTTACCTTACCCTGCTGACTGGAATCTCTAGTACAATGTTGAATAAAGTAGTGGTAACTCTTGACTGATTCCTGATCGCAAGGGAAGAACTTTCAACCCTTTACCATTAAATATAAGGTTTGCTATAAATCTGTTTATGTTTCCAGTGGCCTTTATCTTAGCTGACACCTGGCATTCTAGGAGGACTCTTCATTGGTTTTAGTTTGTAAGAAACGTTTAGATGAGCTCCTGAGAGCACTTTCCTTCTGAATCAGTCATTTGGGCCAGTCTTGATAGGACTTTTGAAGTCATACTGACTTGGGTCCGGATCTGGCTCTGTCATATACTTGGGATTTTTGGCTAGGACTAGGAACTAGGGACTATTTAACAGCAGAAGTATCATAGCGTGTTCTGTTCAATTAGTCAATTCTGTGAGAAGCATGGTACTTGTATAGTTTTAAGTGAAATGTATTAATATTCTCTTATGATTACCTGTGATGCTCTGATGTATCCCTGTTGAAAGCAGCTGGATGGCTATAGTTTTGCTAATAGTTGCTATATATTTTTTGTAACCTTCTCCACTCTTACAGTTCTGATATCTCAGTTTTACTGATCTTTTGCTACGATGCCAGTTCCCGTGTCTCTGTCAGTTCTCTGGAATTTGTGAAGGAGATGATGATGTGTGATATTGCTGTGCCACTTAGGAGGTGTAGGGTGACCTCACATGGCTCTGTCAGCAGGCGTAGGGCTTCCTCACACATTAGCGTACGTGATTAGGTGATGCACTTTCAGTCTCTGCGATAAGAGGTGGTAGATTGGAAGGGAATGATAGAAGAAGAGAGTTTTCTGAGTAGCTTGTGGACTCATGTTAGCTTCAGAAGTGCCTGTGAGGCCAGAGGAATTTAATACCCAAACTCGTGTCAGAACTCCCAAAGCTTACCTATATATTTGGCTGGGTGGGTGCATGTCTCTCTCCTGCAACCTGGAGCCTAAATAATTTCCCAGCACCCAACACTGTCATCTGAGGGGAGAGAGCACAGGTAATGTTGTCCAAGGACTTGGAGGTTTGTGTTCCTGAAACTCTGTGGGAATTTTTAGGATTGTAATTGATGTTCCTTATCCTGAAAGGACCTTTGCAATTGCTGATGAAACGTTGGCCTTTCTCCATTGCAGATTGACATCAGTAAATGCCATTATTTAGTGGATTTGGACACCACGAGAGAAACGCCCCGGGAGCCGAAATACTCATCAAATAGAGAAGAATGGATCAGCTTGGCCTACAGACCATTCCTTGATGTTTCTAGGTACGTGGCTAGAGATGAACTAGTGATGGGCATTTCATGTAAATGGAGTCACACCATATGTGGTCTTTTGTGGTTGGCTTCTTTCACTTAGCATCATGTTTTCAAGGTTCATCCATGTTATACAATGTATCCTTTTTAAGATTGAATAATAGGGCGAAAATTAGAATCTTGATTGAATAACTTCCAGTCTTGGGCTGACTGTAATAGCCATCATTTCCTTTTTATATGGACCCAAACACATCTTCTATTCTTGTCCAGCTTCCTGAGAAATCTAAAAGAGTGCTCTCCTTTTCTAGGCACTGAATGCAAAATTTATTCAGGTATCATCCAAATAAAAGAAACTAACTAAAACAGATCCACTGGAGACAATGCAAATAAGTGTTTGACATGGATGACTTTTGGCAATCAACTTCAACTATCTTCCTGAGAGTATTATAACACTGTTAGGAAGATTGACTATGTCCTTTAAGGAGCTAGAAGTTCACATCCATTATTTTTAGGGTTAAGGCTCAGTCAAGGAAGGGGTAGGCCTTACTTGATCTTAAATAGAGGGACCAAATGCGGGGTGCCTGGGTGGCTCAGTGGGTTAAGCCTCTGCCTTCAGCTCAGGTCATGATCTCAGGGTCCTGTGATCGAGCCCCGCATCGGGCTGTCTGCTCAGCGGGGAGCCTGCTTCCCCACCCTCTCTCTCTGCCTGCCTCTCTGCCTACTTGTAATCTCTGTCTGTCAAAAATCTTAAAAAAAAAAAAAAATAGAGGGATCAAATAGACCAGGGCTTTTCTGGCTCTTCAGAAGGGCCTGAGAAGTAATGACAAGAGGGAAGTCAGGGCCGTCAGGTGAAGGAGTAATGGGGTTGAGTTGGAGGAGTCAGGTGTTTTGTGGGTAGAAGTCCAGGGAGGCCTGGTGGGCAGAGTTGCAGAAAGGAAAAGCTAGAGGACCAGGTCCCGAGAGGCAGGTCTGGGACTCAGAAGCAGGGAAGAAGGTATTTTTAGGAGGAGGGAGTGCTCAGAAGCTGCTGATAAATAAAGTTGAATAAGAACAACTGTTCATTGGGTTAGGCAGCTGATCAAAGCAATTTTGGTGGAGTGGTAGAGGCGTGGTGACTTGAGAGAAGAGGAGGATGAGAGCAAAAGTAGAATTGGAGATGGTGTAAGAGAGAAGTCAGAGAAGCAGAGGGAAGCAGAGAAATAGGGCTATAGCTGGTGGTGGGTGGTACTGTAGGAAAAGTGATGATGAGAGATGATTTTATCCTTAAATCTTTTTTTAATTGTGGTAGTATATATACAATATACATATACATATATATATATACATATATATATATATATGTATATATATATATGAAACATGGAATTTGCCATTTTAGGGGCACCTGGGTGGCTCAGTCAGTTAAGTGTCTGTCTTTGGCTTGGGTCATGATCCTAGGGTCCTGGGATTGAGCCCCACGTGGGACTCCTTGCTTGGTGGGGAGTCTCCTCCCTCCCCCCCCACCCCCGCTCCTGCTGCTTGTGTGCACGCTCTCTCGCCCTCTCTCTCTAAGAAATCTTAAAAAATTTGCCATTTTACCTATTTTAAGTGTATAATTCAGTGGCATTAATTATATTTACAGTGTTGTGCAATCCTTACCATTATCTTTTTTAAAAATTACCATATGCATTTTGTAAGTTTAAGGTGTCCACGTGTTCATGTGTTGCCATATGATTGTGACAGTAGATCAGTTAACACCTTTATCATATCACATATTCGTTATTCGTGTTTCTGTTGAGAATGCCATTATCTATTACCTATTTCAGTAACAATTGTATTTGTATGCCAATGGAAATGATCTCTTAGCTGAAAAGTGATTATGTAGGAGAAAGGAAGGAATTGCGGGAGCAGTGCTCTTAAGGTGGGAGAGAGGAGACATACCTGTAAGTAGCGGAAATGTTTTGGACAGATGGGCGGTAGGTAGATCATCTCTCTGCAGTGAAGGAGAAGTTCTGTGTCTGTACCGGCCAGTATAGGAGCCAGGAGCTGCATGTAGCTTTTAAACATTTGAAATGTGATGACTGTGCATGAGGAACTGAATTTTTAATTTTACTTAATCTTAATTTAAATAGTCACATGTACCTGCTAGAGAGAGCAGACTAGGAACCGGCAGCAGGTCGGTGTGATAATGGGAGTCTGGAGGTTCTCTGGCCTGTTTTCTCCGTGAAGCAGGAAGTTAGGAGAATCAGATGAGAAGGGACTATATGGGGATGAGGTCGGAGAATTAAGGAGAGGGAGATAATTGAGGCAAGTAGGAAACAAAGAAGCTCAACAAACAGTATGATTGGAAGACAAGATCAAGAACCCACCTGAGTTTTAAGTGGGACCAGTGTGGTTGCCTTTTTCTCTCTAGCTGTAGAGAGAGCCACAGTGCTGAATCACAGAACAGGTGAATCTAACCAGAGGGTTTTTATTTTTAGTTTTTTAAAACAAATTCATGGAAGTATAATTTACATACCGTAAAATCCATCCATTTTAAGTGTACAATTTAATAATTATTAAGTTTGCCAGTTGTATATATGTAAGTGGAATTATGTAATACATGGGGTTCTGTAACTGGATTCTTTCATTTCGCATGTTTTGGTGGTTCGTTCACGTTATAGCATGTATCAGTCGGTGTCCTTCTTTGTTGTCGAATACTATTCTATCATATGGATATAAGCATTTTGTGTACCTCTTCCCCAGTTCATGGATACTTGGGTTATCTCTACTTTTTGGGTATTGTAAATAATGCTGCTGTGAACATTGATGCACCCTTTTGTGTGCAGGTTGGGTTTAGGCCAAGAAAGTTCAACAAAGCAAGAAGGGGACAAGGGAGTTGAGTTTATGGAGGAGAGTGGTCATGGCTGTGAGCTGGGTGAGGAGGGTTGGGGGTTCTGAGGGAGTGGAGGGGCCTGAGAGGTGGTGGGATCGTGGATTGATACTCACACATGGTCAGATTGGACCAGTCATAGGAGAGACCTGGAAGGGGAAGCCGCAGTGATGTTGGGAAGCTCTCTGCATCACATACGGTCTTCGTTATTGTTACTTGATGTGATACTTGGGGTAGGTTGCTCCTGGGCCTTCTATTCTGAGTTGGGAAAACTGTGAGAACATGAGGTCTGGCCCTGGGAAGATCTCCAGCTCTGAGGGGACAGCAGACCCCAAGCAACCTTCCTGTTAGCAAAGGGAAACTGAGTGGCTCACAAATACAGACCAGCAATACATTGGCTACAGAACAAACTCTGTTAATAGCAAGTGGGGCAAGGGAGTAGTTTTCAGGTGACTCTTTTTCCCCTTTTAGTTTTGAAGGGTTGACATGAGAAGGGCTGCCCATCTCCCCATTTACCCTTCTGGTGGCCCCCTAGACCCATAGCTCGTGCCCGTAAATGGAGAGCCTTTGGGACAAGGCAAAGCAGCATGCTTGGACGCTTCCTATGTGAGAATTTGAAAGCTCTTGATGAAGGAGCCAAAGGTTTGGCTCGTGGTGAGCCAAGCGTGACTGGAGCCCCTGGTATGCCACATAGGTGCAGTGGCTCCTCTGCGTTCAGGCTCCTCAGCGCTCCTTTCCAGAGAGGCTGCTTGCTGCTCCCCACTGAGCCTTCTGCTTCCCTAACAGGCCAGATGGTATGGCCAGAAATAAAGCATAATGGGCTCAATTTGATCAACTTTATCAAATATCTTCTACCTTTAAGACTTTAGACTGTGTGTAGACAAGACCACTGCCTTGGGGAGTTTATGGTAAACCTGGAGAGAAACACCATCAGAGAAGTGCCACTAAAGCATAGGAGGGGTGTGGCAGTTCCACGGGACTGGGGTGGGAGGGACCCAGGAAGATCCCAAGAGGGGGTGACATCTGAGATTGCATTGGTGATCGTGTGGGAGGTGCACTGAAAGGAGGGAACGTTGGAGGTCCAGGAGGAAGTCAGGAAATGATTCTGGTTGGCTAGATGAGAGGCAGCGAAGGAGTGAACTCAACTGCAGAGCAGGGGTAGACTTACAAGATGCGGGGTGTCAGGAAGATCAGGCCAAAATTCACCCAGAATCCCACAGCTTGCACAGTGGCCTGTAGCAGCAAGCTTTTAGTAGTCTCCTGTGCTCTATCAGAAGTGTTGGGGATTGGTTTCTCTGGCAGGGCTGGTCCCTGAGCAGAAGTGTTTCCAAGTTTGAGCAGAACTCGGTGGAGCCACAGACCCCAAACTTAACTCATCGTATGTCCTGTTTGTCGCTGCTGCTGCTTCGTTTCCCCTCTGCCCGCTCCGCACACCTCTGGTGCAAGGGGAGGGAGGGAGGTTAGTGCCTTCAGAGGTTTTTCACTTCCCATAAATTTTACTCATTTCCCATAAATTGGCATTCTTTTCATGACCATAGGCTGAGAAAGAAAAAAAAACCTGCTGGTTTAAGAACTGGGAAGGTACAGTTCACTTGAAAGTGTACAGAGTGCATAGAAGAGAGTAAGGGGTCAGAAGACGCGGCTTGCTGGTTGTTCCTGATTCCCAGATTTACTGAATTTACACTAGAACAGAGATGGTAATATTTTATCTCTTTCATGGGAATGTTGTAAGGATTAAATGAGAGTGGAAATATGAAGATGTTTTTAAATTCTAAAGCATTGTATAAATGTCAGGCTTTTCAATTAATTAGCACGCAGCCTCAGGGGCCAAAATTATTCTGAGTTTCTCTTTCTTACTTGGCATTTCCTGGTATATATTGATGTCATTGAAAGAACAGTGGGAGGTCGGTTCTTTCAGAAAAAAGACAGCCCAGTCTTTTCTTTTTTTTTTTTAAAGGATTTTATTTATTTATTTGACAGAGATCACAAGTAGGCAGAGAGGCAGGCAGAGAGAGAGAGAGAGAGAGAGAGAGGAGAAAGCAGGCTCCCC